GTTTATTAATTGGTACAATTGGTTGATTCAAGTGATATGTATTAAAATGGTTTCTTGTTGGCTTGGTTTCGAGTTTGAGCCGCAAGTGGTTTTTTGTAGAGAGCTGGAAGTGGGGCGTTGCAAATGTTTGCACTAGGTTTTTTTTTTTGATTATTCAGGAGATTGGTCAGCAATTAGAGCGTTTCTGGAAGGTTTGGGATTACTTTAGGTTTGTCGGAGGGTTGTTTATTTGTCATAGTGGTTTTCTGAAGTCTAGTGTTTGAGTTTGGTGGCGGGGTTGTAGGAGCTCGGTTTTCTGTTAAATTTGTTTGTGGTGAAAATTGGCTGTTATCTGAGTTGGTTTATGTTTTGTGCCGGCATTTCGCTGTAAAATTTTGGACATCAATTTAGATGGAATTAATATTGTTTCTTGTAGCCCAGCGCAGTTTTGAAAGTTTTTTGTGGTCGATTGGTGCTGGTCGATGTGGACTTTTTGAATTGTGGAAGTTCCCGCAGGATGTTGGGGTTGAGGCTGGGAGGTCTGATGTAACGAAGGAGGAAGTGTTCAGCAAACAGTGTCTGAGACGCCTTTTTCTGCATTTTGTTAGGTTTTACAAATACGGGTACATTCCATAATGATTTTTTCTGTTGTGGCTGTAAGTGTTAATCTTACATCATACTGAGGATGGTTGACTCTTTCCTTAATTTGGAATTTGTGGAGCTGGGGACTAAATATACTGGTATTTGCTGTAACAGTGTAGAGGCTTATCAGCGTAGGCATGAGGGAGCTCAATATTTCAGGTTAGAATAACTTTTTTAAATCTGGCTCCTAATTTTCTTAGAAGTTCTGAAAGTAATCTCGTTAATTTTTTTATTGATCTTCGATGTCACAGCAGCCTCTTAGTCTTGAATAGCCTTTCTACGGTTGGTTCCTTTCTGCAACAGCAGTAGTCGTCAAGTTATAATCTCTCAAATTCAGAGGGTCAAATAATTTGAGTGTGCTGAAGAAGACGTTTTTAAGCTTTGGTAGATACATTTTTGTTCATAATTTTGTTGGTGTAACAAACTGAAAATACAAGAGTCTGTTTTAGCCAGTTGAAAAGGATTACTTACTATACCGTTTTCTTCTACGTTGTTTCTAGTTCATTTTTGATCAAAATTTTGTGATTGGATTGTTGTAGACGGCTAACGGAACCAAAGCTGTTTGTTTCTTTTGTATAATTATTAAATAGTTGTTCTTCGCACACTGAATTTGAAATTTTTTGGAAAGCAGAAACTAGTTACTACAAACGTGTGACAACAGTGACTCTTTCTTTTCTTTTTCGAGTTACCAAAGGTGCATCATAAGAAAAGTGGTTATTCACTGAGTAAATTCACGGTTTTATCATGAAACTGAGGCTTGCTCTCACGTTTCGAAGGTCGGAGCAATATGTCTTTTGCTGGAAGTGGTGCAGTCACATCAGTTTCAAAATAAATGTGTGGTTTCTACGCCGATTATTTATCCAGTAGTTCAAATTGGGGAGATCTATTTTCCACGCAAGATGAGTAAACTGGCCGACGGGGAGAAGATATTGTATAAGCGGCAAGCTAGCTCAAGCAGAAATTTTTTGCAGACATTTGCTTTTTTTTGGAATACCATTGGTAAACGCATATAATGTAGCTGGATGTTAACATTTACTGATTTCGTCTACCTATTATATGTTTCATTGATTCTGCCATCTATTTGGCTTTTGTTTATGATTGCTGATTGAACCTGTAACAAATTTTTGACGTTCTTGCTAAATGGCTCAATTTTTAGTTATCTGTTTTACTGTAACATTTTGACAACTATTTCATGAAGCTATGGTGTGAATGATGCCTTTTTTTTATGAACTGCAATTCTTTTCCAGTGTCATTTTCATAGTTTCTTGCTACCATTTTCATCGAATATACAGCAATGCAGATTTAGCATTTGTGGCGCATTATTTGAAACGTTTATGCAGTTTAACATAGCGTTAAAATTGGATCTAATTTGAAAAATTTGTTTGACTGCTTGTTTTTCTTTCAAAGATATGGAATTTAATCTATCAGCATTCCTCCCTTCCTTCCAAAATAAAATTGGCTGAGAACTGTAGCATCATTAATGCAGCTTTTCACAGCAAGTAGTTCATTCGTCATGCTGCTGTTCAAACGTATTTTCGGTAATTGATATAATTTTTGGTGCTTGTGGAATAGAAAAGGCAAGCGTTTAAAAAAATGCAAACTTACTCACTTTTTAAAGAATGTTTAATTAGTAGGTTTTTTACTTATATTGGAGAGGTTTTTTGCGAAATTGATGAGGAGTGGTAGAAAGCTGAAAAGATAACCGAAAACTTGGTTAATTTTACTTCTGTAGCTGTCTGATTTTTTGATAGTGTTTGGATTGCTAAAAACAGAGTGTTACCGATCGAGATAATTTCTATTGCCCCATATGTCCCCTTCCACTTCTTTCATTATCCGACATTTGTTTTTTGGTAGGAGAGCTGCTTCCTTACACGGTTTGTTTTCGAAACTCAAATGGGACTTTAAGCCGTTGCATATTCTGCTGCAATGCCGTTTGAGTGTTTATTTGATTATTTTACTCGTTATTAGCCCAAGAAAATTGGTGTAAACTATCAGGAAATTGTTTCTGTGATTTATACTGTTTTAATAAAAGTATGATTGCTTTTTTTTTGCGTTGATCAAAGCGTCAAACGCTAAAATTACGATCATAACCGTTTATTTAACAAAAAACAAATTATTTACACAATAGTGAGCAATAAACCTTATAGAAAGTTTAAGGAACCAGTCGATTACAGTTGGTAAAAAAAAAGCATAAGAAAGAGAAATTTGTTTTTCTCCTTGAATAACTGAAAACTATACTCCACTTATCTTCTGATTTACTTAATATTTTTGCATTCTAGAATACGTTTAAACTTTTTCCTTCTAATATTTGTTAGTTTTCCACCAGATATCGCAAAGATATATTGCGGTATTTCCGAGAAGAAAAAAAAAAAGATAAAAGAGAAACGAAAACGAAAAATGGCAAAAAAAGAGAGAAAAGACAAATGATAGAAGGAAAAAGAAAATAAAAAACAAAAAAAACTTCATTCCTTTTTTTTTT